TAGTTAATTTATTTGAAAATTAGAGGGGATTTGGTGAGGTATCCCTCCATATCCCATGTGGAGGGCTACATGACGTTTGACCAGTGTTAGGCACGGTTCGGTATTACAGCGGTACTACCATCAGTATCTAATCCGACAGTATCTAATCCCACTAGTTTGAAAAATATTTTTAACAAATACCAAAAATTTTTTTATCAAAATCGGTGTAAATGAAATAAAATACATACAACTCTGATTAAATAATGCTCAAAATAAATACAATAGATCTAGGACAGTTCCTGTATGTCCATAATATTCAGAACTGTCCAAGACTTTCCAAGAAAGTTTCTTGGCTCTAGGAACTAATCTCGGTCTCTTCTCTCATAAAAATTTTTTGTATTGGACAGTCCTAATACACAAACACATTGACTTTGTTATACTTGTGGATATTTTGAAGCAGGCTAAGGTACTTGAAGCCCAAGGTATCGCAGAGCTATAACTTAGTCTAAAATTGTCGAATCCGGGATGCCATAGTATGGCTCGATGCACCTCGATGAGCTGAATCCGAAACATGTCAGGACATCCCAGTTTCGACAATTTCGAACGAATCATAGCTCTGCGGTACCTTTGGCTTGCAGTACCTTGGTTGTACTCTTGTGGATATTTACAGACGAGAGTTTTTTTTTGGAAAGATGGGAAGGTGGACTGAGTAGTAGATTGTCGGTATAATCATATGTTACAAAAATTGAAATACCGTATTTCCTCTAATAAAGCGTCTCATTTTTCAATCCTTTCTCAGAGGGCCCTCTATTAGAGACTGCCGTTCAAATAGAGACGTCACTCAATGAGAGGAAATACGGTAATATAAAAATTTGGGGCAATGTGTTTTATAAATTTCTGATTTCTTCAATAAAAATGAGCTGAATAAATATCCACATAGAAGCCCCCATTCAATAAGACTCATTCAGTAAACATCTAATATACATGGGCTTCTATTGGAATATTTAAAAAATTTTCAGAATATACAAAACGTTTTCTTCAAAATCTTCTCCAAAATTCCTCAATGAACACAAAATTTAATAGCCCCCAAGATCATAATAATTCCAAGAACACCTCCAACACTTAAAAGAGTGATAATCGTTATTTTAGTAGCAAGTATTGAAGTATTCAAAATAGCGCCAAATCCAATCATTCTTTTATTTCGCACTCCAACTTGAGCTTTCGAAATTGTTTGTTCATCAAGTGTTGGGTGAAGAAAGTCTTTTTTGGTTAAAATTGCCTAAAACAAAATTTTTTTAAAAAATTTCTAGAATGTTTGAGAGTAGTTTGTTAAATATTATGAAAATTATTATTAGAAGATACCCAGATTTTATGGAATTATAACCAGAATTTTAATAGTAAAGGCCGGCAAAGTTTGTTTCCAGCCTAGCAAATAAGAAACAAAAAGATCATTCGGTGGTGGGAAGGTTGGGCAGTTAACACCCTTACATCGAAAGGCTTTGTGATCATGTCCCACTCAACTTGTACTTTTTCTCGGGGATTCACCGCATAAATATTTACTTAGCTCATGTAAAGCATGTAGCTACTTAATTTCTAAGGCTGTGCTAACACATCAGTCCGGCCTACTGAAGATGCTGGTTCGCTCCCAGCCGCCGAATAACCTTTTGCACTAGCTAAAGGAGAGAAATAGCTCTCATTATCCTTTTAAATTCAAAAATCACCTTAATTAAACCCAAAGTTTCATCAGAAATCCCCAAAGGTGAATAAACCTTTTTGGCAACCAAAGTTTTCAAAATAAATTTTCCAAATTTATTGACAACTTGAGAATTATTTTTTGGTTTTTCAACTTTATTTACATCAATAGAATTACACTTTTCTTTACTAATATAATTACGTTCACAAATTTGTTTGAAAAATTCAAGTCCTTCTTTACGAAATTTTTCAAATGTTTTCTCACTAGAAAGGTAAAGTTAAGATTAGAGGCCGGACTGTGTGGGCAGTACGGAAATTCTTGATTCCCGATAACAAAGGTTACTGCTCAAGATCTCGTTTCGATTCGATCTCTAGTTAAATCGAATTTCTCTAACACCGCTTCCCCTCTCACTTGAGAGAGAGAGTGAGGTCTTACATTCTTTTATAGCAGGGTTGTATAATGATAAGACGGAAGGCGGATGGCGGAAAAAGTGCAAGAATATTAAAAAACGGAAGTTGAAGACCCTAAAGAACGGAATTCGAAGGAAGACAAAAGCGGAAGAAAAGACTCCACTGTTTAAGGAGTCTTTGAAGACTTATTTGAGTATAGGGATGTGACATTATGCAAAATCCTTAAAGGAACATCACTGATAGAGTGGAATTATCAGAATTCGAAACGAGATCTTATTTAAAAAATTTTTTGGCATTCAAAAAATCTTTTGATTATCGAGTTCGATATTCTCGATGCTCAAAACTCTCTTTGACGAGTCTCTTATATCGAGATTTTCCTTTAAATAAAAACACCAACTTGTAATAAAAAGCCTCAGCCTGTGGATCCAAAGGCTTCTTCTTATATTCATCCCAAACTTCTTTTGCCAGTCGCCAATAAGAGCCGAATTGGGTTTTCAACTTTTGCCAACCCTTGCATTGCAAAATATTTTTATTTTTATAATTAAATATAGGCCCATCCCATTCTCCTTTATTTTCATCAATTTTAGACCTTAACAGACTCCAAGACCTCTTAGAATTTTTGTTTGAATTTTTCTTTCGATAAATTCCATTTTCATCAAATTTTGGGGTCTCTCCTCCTGTTAGCCATCGAATAAATTTATTTTTGGTATTTATTTTTATACTTTCATCAATTATTTTTTCATTTTCATTGATCAAATGTTCTGTTCCCTCCTTTAAAACATCCACCCTTTCATTAATTTCCTCATCCTCTAGCTTGTCAAAATCCAAAGGGTTTTCAATTCCTTCCAATTCCGCGGTTTTGGGACAAACTGTCACCCAAAGTTTTGTGTCTATGGCACAGGGTCTTTTAAGGAAAGCTTCGGTAAGAGGGCAAAGATGTTCGCAAGAGAGGGGTTTAAACTCTTCATTATGGTTGTTTGAGGTTTCCAGCGAGTAACTAAGAGTTTCGGGATGGGAAGAGACACAAGGGGAGAATGTAGTGATTAAGAGAAGAGTTTGAAGTTTGGGTAAAAATTGGTGTAGAAACATTTATCTGAAAAAAATTTTAAATATAAAGGCATAATAAAGGCTATAATAAATAGAAGCTATAATAAAAATTTAAAAAAATAAAATGTCTAGAGGGCTTTAAAAATTAAAAAAAAATTCAGAGAGGAGAGTAAAGGGCATCCAAAATCAATTTTTATAAGGGCATGAGGTCCCTATCTTTTATTTAATTATATACATCTTATGACTGTCTAGACTTTATTAATTGAAAATTAAAATTAAATCTTTTAAATTAAAGGGCAAGCATGTCTAAAGACTCAGGGAAGCTTATAAAACTTTTAATTAGAGAGGGTCTTTCTAATTGAGGGAGTCGCTTTATTTTTGGTTCCAAAATTAAGAAAAAGTTTTTTTCTAAAGTGTTCCTTAGAGCTTCGCCGGAAGTTCCGGTTCTGGTAAGCCGGAAGTTCCGGGATTTTTTGGTTTCAGTTCCGGCTCGGGACCAAAAAAATTAGATCCGGTTCCAGTCAAATTTGCGGTCCGGTGTAGCACTATTCCTCCTTGAAAAGGAGGAAAATTTTAAGATAAATTAACTTCGAAAATTTCTTTAAAAAACAGACTGATCGGTCAATGAATTAAAACTATTTACTAATTGACTGTAAGGTTGTCGGATAGTTTGAAATCTTCGGATATCCGGATCTGGCATCCGAAGCGAAAATTTCCGGATATCCTGTCTTTTTTCGGATCCGGATATCCGGATCCGACAACTTTAATTGATTAATTAAATTAATATCCCCTTCATTTCCTATCTTGTCTATTTCCTTTATCACAAAAATTGTCGTAAATTTATTCTTAAAAAATTTGCCCTTTTTTCTTTTATCTTTCATCATTTCCTTCATTTAATATTTTATATGGGAAATAGTTAAATGAAAGTCGATTTTTGAAAAAGTCGACTTTATTCTTAAGAAAAATTATTCTTTAGAGAAAAGCTTCTAAAATCTCAAGGACCAGTTTTTGGAATCTCGTACCAAGGATTTGTACTCGTACCTGTGAACGAGACCGGAACCAAACGCCGGAACTTACCGGAACCGGAACTTCCGGTGAAACTCTAATCTCTGCTTAAAGTTTCGAGTTCGAGAGACTCTCTAAAAATTTTTTTGATATTTTGAGGTATTGCTCTCAATTTTCGTAAGACCCTCTCAGTCCAGTATTTAATCTACTAATTTCCGAACACCAAGTTCAAAATACTCGTATGCTTTCTTTTCACAAAATATTCCCAGAACTGTCAAATTAGTTTTTCGAATGTTTAATTCTCCAAAATATTTACTTTTTTGTTATTTTAGAAAATTTCCTACTCCTTTAGCCTCGGGTTGGGGTCGTTTTGGCGCCGGGCCGTTTTGGCGCGAGAACTAAAAACTGGCACTTAGGCGAGACCTAAATTCTTAAAAATTTTATCAAATTTCTTTAACATCTTTGACTACATCCTCCAAAAATTTGAGAATTTTTCATCAAATATTTCTGAAGTTATAGTCGATAGACTATAAGCCCCCTCCTAACACCCCTTTTTTCTACATAATCTTTCATCATTTAACTTATCAACTGTCTAAATAATTAAAAAAACCAAAAAAAATTTCTTTTAATTTACTTTATTTTTATCTAAAAAATTGACCTTTGTATTTTTTATTAGCTTTAGTTTCTCTCTTTTATTAGCTAATAAAATGTCTAAAATTAAATACACATCACTTTTTATGTCATCAATCATTTAACTATTACTTTTATTTAAATTTAACATCATTTATTTTTTATTTCCCCTCAAATTCCCTTAAATTCTCCCTTAAAAATAAAATTAAAATTCTCTCTCATTTTCCCTCCCCAAAATGATTTTAAAAAATAAAAATTTCTTCAAATTTTTATTTTTTTATTTTTATTTAAATTTTGACTGTGCATTTGCACCTGGTGCCCATTTATTTATTGAAGGGAGTAGCTACGAACATTGGGGGAGAAGTCGGGATAGTTATCAACGAAGGCTGAGCACAGCTTTTTTAAATAGTAGGCTTTCAATTTTTGTACTAAAAAACTCTGAGTTATACAAGATAGAAGGTCTAATCCCCAATCTTTATCCCCAATCTTCAATCTAATGGGATAACGTAGAGATGAGGTTGATCTACAAACTCTGAAGTATCCCAGATACCTAAAGATCTTAGATATCCAATCACGAACCTCGGAATATCTTGGGATATCTCTTACAGGATATCTCAATATTGGGTCGATTGGTGACGGTATACACCCCAAAAATACCGCACCGAATGCCCACTGTATCGGCATCAATTCGACAAATAAATACATGAGAAATAGTTGTTCAGCAACAATCACAACAAAAATATTTGTTCCAATAACACTAAATGTTAAGGGGGTTATTTTTTGTTCTTCTAACAACGGGGGAATTGCTCCAACAAAATATGTTTTTAATTTGAAGTCGGTCAAGATAAGAAAAAGTTTTGGCGGCAGTACATTGGGCTGCAACCATTCCCATTCTTTGAGGGGGGAGGGGGGAGGTTTTTTTTGAGGGGGGGGGGGAGGTTTAAAAATTTTTCAAAATTAAAAATTTTTTTTTTCAATTTCATGTTCCGACAAGGAAAGAGAAAGACTAGCAAATTGTATGGGTAATTGTTACGATGCAGATTCTAATTGCCACAAATGTTTTGCAAAATGTGTAAATAAGTGTGTTCTTAAAAAGCCTCCTTTATCTTCGATGGTTGTAATTGCTGGAAATTAATTTAAAAAATAGTTGTGAGAAGAGAAATGTAATGTTTAAAAATCATAATAATATTTTTTTGTTTCTCAAAAACATTCCTAAAATTTTTGTGTAAATTTTTGTATAAAATAAATGTTTTTCTGACTTTAATTTAGCAATAAACACATTTTTCAGCACTTGTTCACTGTCATAGATTACAGCTAAAGTTATAGAACCAGGCTTCTGTTTCCTGTCCACCTCCTTATCTTTTTTATTATAGTTAAACTCTGATTGTACTGACTATCAGTATCAGAGGTGGGTCGGAACAGTCAGAGGTGTCGGAAATTGGAAGAACCGTAAATCGGAACTGGCTCAAAAGTCGGAACTCGGAAATCAAAATTTATTTCGGAACTCAGAATTCCGACCGATGTAGAATCTTCTATATGTAGAATCTTAAAGATAGAAGGGAGAATGAGGGGAGAAAAAGTTAAAAAAATATTCACAAAGTTTTATTTCTTTATATTTTAAAATTAAAAAAAACAAAACTTGTTTTTCAATAAAAATTTTAAAATTTAGTTTTCTTTTAATTAATTAAACAAATAACAACAATTTGATAAAATTATAATCGATTTTAGACAAATTTTTTCTTTAAATTTTTGTTTAGATTATGAAAACCAACGATGTTTTTTCTCAAAATTTTTTTGATTTTAGTTTGTTGGCATAAATCAGACAAATATTTCTATATAGACGACAACTTTATATAAGCGACTTTCTTCTTGTCTTCAGATAAATACCTCTAAATACCTCCATATAAGCGACACCTCAATATAAGCGACATCCTCTTTCCTTCTGACAAATACCTCTATACAAGCGACTTTCAATATAAGCGCTTTTTTAGGTCTCTACTAGAGAGAGTTATTTTTATTTAAATTATGTACTCTTCCTTAATTTTTCTTTTAATTATTTTAACTTCCAAATTAATTTTTGGCCAAGGACCACCCCCTAAGGGTGGAATAAAAATACCCGAGAATGAAGAAGATAAGAAAGATGATTTAGAAAATCTTGGAAAGGTTGGTGGTTAATTAAGGTTATTTTTGTGGTTAAAAAATAATTAAATTTAGAAAATATTGAATGCTGCAGCCAAAAAACTTTCATCAATAAATACAGAAGATATAGAGAAAAAAATTACAAAAGCTTTGGGATTGGAAAGTAATGAAGGGAATTAATTGATGGGGAAATTTTTTAAAAAATTTTTAAAAATTTTTTAAAAATTTAAAAAAAATTTTTTGAAAAATTTTTTTTTGAGAATTTTTTAATTATAAATTTGTTTTTGGTCTAAATGACGCTTTATTGAGAGAGTATTTTATGGTTGTTTTTTAAAAACGGATCATGCTCCGTTGTCTCTTTCCCTCTCCCTTTCCAAAAATTTTTTTGGAAAATTTTGGCATAAACTAGACAAATATTTAATGAAGGCTTTAATTATAAAAAAAATAGAATTTCAAAATAAAGTCAACTAAACTTATCAAAATAATTTAATTAAAGTCCACTGGGAAATTTTGTGAAATTATACTAGGAAGAAATGACAGACCATTTTGTACATCAAGAAAAAACTGATTGGAACGCGTCTGGTGATTTGGGGGTGGTGAATTGGGCGGTGAGAATTTTGGGCTGTGAGTGATTTGGGCAGTAATTTAAATTTTTTAAGGGGGGGGGGACGACATTAGTTTATTCTACTCTTAAAATTTTTTGCACTCTCTTTTTTCTCCTCTTACGTCCGCGCCATAACGAAAAATAAATACTGTACCATAATTCGAATAAAAACAAGAAAATTGTACGATTTTTTAAAGTTTACCCAAGTGTTAAATAAATATGCATAGAAAGGCTACAACTCAATTTTTAAAAAATTTAATAAAAAAACTTTAGACTTTCTTGTTTTTTCTTTTAAATAAATCCCCCAATCAAAATGCTTTATCTTCTCTTTTTTTACTCTCCATCAGAAACACAAGAATCATCTTCATATAAATTAAAATTTGGATTTGGATCTGTCCAGTTAGTCATCCTTTTCCCAGTGTGCTTTGAATAATAATGATTATTAAAAAATCTCAAAAAAATATTCGTTTAAGTTATGGATCATTTTAAATGGGATAAATATGGCTACAAAATGAGCCCAAAAAATTTTTACTAAACTTGAAACAAATGAGGGAAAGGGTCTTTATAGTTTTGCCCACAACGGTATATTTTAATATTAAATAAAATTAAATAAAAATACCTCATATAAAGGATCTTTTTTCTTTTCTAGTTTTGTTTTGCGTTTTGTTGTAGTGACTTTGGGTGTATCTTCGGCTTTTTTTAGGAATTTCTTAATTACAAATTTAAATTTAAAAATAACAATTTTTCAGAATATTTTTAATAAAATAAAAATAATTTTTGCCTTAATAAACTTTATTATCCCAATTTTTCCCCAACTTTTTAAATTTTAAAATATTCTACTATGTCGACTAAAGCTCTCACTTAATTGCAATCAGAGCTCCTGCCGCAATAAAACCAAAATTCCCGATTTTCGGGAATCGGGACGGCTAGAACTCTGATGGATACGTTTACTTGTTATTAATTTTATCTTTTAATTAAAACAACTTTTAGACTTTATTGTACAAACCGGCTAGGTTATCATTTGTGGATTGAGGGTGTTTTGATTTGGGACGAGGGCCAACACAACATTCAATAAAAACAATTGTGAATATCACAAGAAAAATAAATGTTTTTGACATTTTTAGAGAGTATAGGAGTTTTGTTTAGAAGTTTTTTTTTTAATTTGAATGTTTAAAATCTTCTTTTTTTAATCGGATTTTAAATTAAATTTTTAAATTATAAAATATGGGCGGGTTATAGAGGGATTTTTATTAGACAAAGAAGTCGTCTCGAGTCGATTTTTAGACAATAGAGAATTTTAAGTAAAAATTTTTATTTAAAATTTTCTATTGTCTTTAAAAAAATTTAAATTTTCTATTGTCTATAAGCTTGTAAGAGGAAATAAAATTTTTTCTTCTCATGCAAAATTAATTTTTTAAATTAAGAATTTAAAAGTTTAAATAAATTAAATAAATAAAATTTAGATTTAACTTTTAACTAGAAATTCTTAATTATTAAATAATTTATACACAAACTTTTTTTAAAGTCTCTACTAAAGAGATTTAATTTTATATAAGCGACTTTTTGTGTTCAGACAAGTACCTCTATACAAGCGACTCTCAATATAAGCGACTTCCTTCTTGTCTTCAGATAAATACCTCCATATAAGCAACGTCTCGATATAAGCGACTTTTTTCAAGTCTCTACTAGAGAGAGTCCATTGTTTTTAAATTATGTACTCTCCCTTAATTCTTCTTTTAATTAATTTAACTTTCAAAATTAATTTCTGGTCAAAGACCATCTCCTAAAATGGAATAAAAATACCTAAAATGAAGAGAATAAAAAAGATGATATAGAAAATATCTTCATTTTCAGTTATTTTTATTTCATTTTTTTCCAGATTTTCCAGATTCATGGCCTTACAAAACTCTCAAAACTTCGCCTGCGACGCTGGAAATGATGTTTCCTTAATCCCTTGATGTCTCCTTAATCCTGTTTGGCCTTACAAAATTCTCAAAATTCTAGTCCCGCGCCATAACGACAAATAAATACTGTTGTGAGGCAATCCTCGCCTTTTTTAATTTTTGGCACGACTTTAAAATTGCTAAAACCCCAAAAACCTTTAATTCACTTCTCTTTAATTTGTGTTGTTATTTCTTGGGGGGGGGGGGGTTAAACCGGGTAGGCTTCAACTAAACAAATTGCTATCCGGCACAACTCTCTCAATTCGAATAAAAACAACAAAATTGTAAAATTTTTCAAAGTTTACCCAAATGTTAAAAAATATGCATAGAAAGGCAACTACTCAATTTTTAAAAAATTTAATAAAAAAACTTCATGGACTTTTTCTTTCCTTTCTCTCAAATAAATCCCCAAATCAAAATTCTTTATCTTCTTTTTTTAGTTTCCATCAGAAACACAAGAATCATCCTCGTATAAATTAACTTTTGGATCTGTCCATGTAGACAACCTTTTCCCAGTGTGCTTTGAATAATAATGATTATTTAAAAATCTCAAAAGAATATATGTCAAAGTTATGGCCCGCTTTAAATTGGATAAATTTGGCTAGAAAATGAGCCCAAAAAAATTTTTTACTAAGCTTGAAACAAACGAGGGTAAGGGTCTTTATTATTGATCGAAATTTTTGAAAAGCCTGGGCATGTTCCTGGGCTTTGGGTTTGATTTATTGACCTGGGCCGGATCCTGGGCCTGTAATCCAGGAAAAACCCCAGGCCCAGGAAAAACCCGGGAAGGTACAAAAACGGCTGGGCCTGGACTCTGGGTACAGAAAAACCCAGGCCTTGGTCAGACCCGGCTCGATCTCTAGTCTTTATAGTCTTGTGCACTACTGTGTCTTAATATGTATTAATTAAAATCAACTGAAAATATGTACCACATATGAAGGATCTTCCTCCTCTTTTGGTTCTGTTTTATGTTTTATTGGATGTTTGGATGCATTTTTAGATGTTTCTTAATTATAATTTGAAATTTTAATCTTCCAGAGTATTTTTAATGAAATAAAAAGAATTATGCTTAATGTTAATATTTTAAATATTTCCCCAACCTTTTTAATAATTTAAATTTTAGAATATTCTACATATTGTCTAAAATACCGTATTTCCTCTAAAATAAGCCCCCTCTGGAGGTTGATCGAAAAAATAAGCCCGGGGCTTATTTTAGAGGAAATACGGTATATCTCCTGTTGGGATCCGAAGTAGCCGACATAAAAATTTAATTGCCGCTTTTCGGGAATTGGAAATTGGGTCGACTAGAACCCTTCTAGATACTTGTTATTAATTTTATCTTTTTTGATTTAAATAAAATTTTTAAAATCTTATTTTACAAACCAGCAGCTTTATTGTCAAATCCGCTTAAAGGGTGTTTTTGTTTTCTTTTTCTAGCAACACAACATTCAACAAAAACAATTGTGAATATCACAAGGACAATAAATTTTTTTGACATTTTTAAGAGAGTATAGGGAGTTTATGTTTAGGGTCTAAGGATTTAGTTTTTTTAATTTGGATGTTTAAAATCTTCTTTTTCAATCCCCCTTTTAAATTAAATTTTTAAATTATAAAATATGGGCGGCTTTAAAGGTAATTTTTATTAATCAATGAATTACGCAAAAGTAAATGGGATAGCAAAATTTTTTAAATAAAAATTTTTATTTAAAAATTTTTTTATTGACTTTTCTTAGCAAAAAAATTTTTTTCTATTGTCTATATTCATGTAGAGAAAATAAATTTTTAGCAAAAAAAATTTGAGTAGTAAGAAGGAGAAAAAATTTAATAAAAATAAATTAAAGATTAAAATTTAAATTTGCAGCCAAAGTTAAATTTTTTTTGGAGAAATATGAGGGGATTTAAGAGATTAATGTGGATATCAGTGGATATATATTGTGGACTTAAAGATTCAAGGGATTTTGGGGATTATGTGGGATATCAAGGGATTTTGGGGATTATGAGGGGCATCAAGTGATATACCACTTAATCCCTCGGTCTCGACTCTCGGCTTTTTTAACTCTCAAACATCACTAGAACTTACACAAACAATGTTTTTTTTCCCGATACCCGACTTTATCCCCCAAAATCCATGTTTATCAACCTAAGCCGGTGATATTCCTACAAAAGCCGAATATTTCCGGATATGCCAGATATCCTTCCAACCGATTTTGCCCTATTTTTTCCCCATTTTTGAGTGACTGCGCCCCATTTTAGTGGTTTCGAAAAGGCCACCCTGACTTCGATATCTCCTACTAATAAGAAGTGGGTCGGAACAGTCAGAGGTGTCAGAAATCGAAAGTGCCAGAAATCGGAACTGGCTTAAAAGTCGGAACTCGGAAATCAAATTTTTTTTTCAGAAATCGGAAATCGGAAGTGTCAAATCTTTTAGATTTGAATATTTTTTATTTATTAAACTTTGGCCAAATTTTGTCCATAATTTTAAATACGTTGCCCGCTCTAATTTCCTTTCTGATCTTTACCCGAAAAAATGGCCAAACTATAAAAATTTAATGCCCACTCAAAAAATGCTAATAATAGTGATGGGCCAGAAAGAATCCTTTCCTTTGTAAGATTGTGCAAATTTTTGTTGGCCTATGCGCCCTTTTCTTTCCTTACTCATATTTTTGAACCTGTCATTGGCCTGCCCAGCTAACTAGAAAAAGATTTTTAGTATGTCCCTTTTTTTGTGTATTTTGATCCCAATACTCTCCAAGAATCTCCTCCTCCTTACCCGAATATAAAATAGAATTGTGAGTGGCTTTTCGTCAGTTTTTTGAAACTACATATTTCCCCCTCCCAGAAAAGCTAAAGAGTTTATGAACTACAATTTTTCCCCTTTTTGATTTGGATTTCCTTCCTTCGAATTTGTTTGTCTAAAGTCGTTTCTACCCCTTTCGTAAATGAATTTTTAATTTGTTTGAAATAAAAAGAAGTTTGTTAATTTTAATTATTTGTGAGGAAATAAATTGATTAAAATTGTTTGTTAGATTTATTAAAAAATTAAGTTTTTATTTTTTCCCCTATTCGAGATTTCCGAATTCTCGACAGCTCAGCCGGTGACCCTCATACCGTACCTTATATTTTTCTAAAAAAAATACCCTTTTTAAAAAAAAAAAAGCTTTTTCCCCGACTCTTATTCAAGTTATTCCTTAAATTATTTTTTAAAAATTCTTTCTGTATTTCTTCAATTTCAATAAATTTTCTACCCCCTTTATCTTTAAAAATCTCTATTTTTTCCACCTAAATTGAACCATGTCTCTTGGATTTCGAGACCAGATTTCCCAACTCTGTGACGATGCTGAGGAGGTTATCGTTGCCAATAAAGAATTTCCACTTCCCATTAAAAATCCACTCAGTTCCGATAACCAATATTATAAATCTGTCCAAGCATTACTTAATCAACTTAATATTACCGACCAAACCATTACTAATATCCTTACTAATTATAAAAATTGTCACGATTCCTGGATGGATTTAAGAATGTCAATGACTGAAACCGAGAGAGGTCATGATAGCATTATTTATGAAACTTTATTACGACAAACTTCCTATATTACGAAAATGAATGAACTTAAACGATACCGCCGAACTTTACGTAATTTCCGCCTTACTTTGGAAAGTGCCCTTCCTGAAGTCTCCCCAAAAATTGACCATTCATATTTCCTTCCTGAATTGCCCCAAGACTGTTTACCAACTTTAAATCCTCCCCAGAATACAATTAAAGAAATTTTACAAAGCCCATTAAAAGTTAATTGTAGCATTTCCAATGATTGTTCTCTTCCAACCCGGACATATTTCCAACCTAATTTATCTCTCAGTATTCCAAATACAGAATTAAACACCCAACAATTGAATGTTTTTGAAAATAATGTTTGCTTCCCCCAAATTTTGAGTGATAAATCGAATATTAATTATAATGCAAGACCCATTAGTCCACCCCCAGGCTTCCCTTCCCTTGAAGAGATTTGTATTACTGATAAGAATAAGGATGATGCTTTTAAATATTCTGTTTGTGAAGAATTGACCCGATCACCCGAACTTATAAATGAAGGATATGAAGACGAGATACACATTAATTCAGAAGAATCAACCCCAGATCTGATCAGTACCTCCCCTTCAGATTTTTTAGTCAATCCCCCCATTATCTGCTCCCATAATATACAAAATTCTATTTCCTCCAAAACAAATTATACAACTACATCAGAAGATATATTGGAAGAAAAGGAAGTAATAGACAACATTATTAATTGTGAAGAAATAGCATTAACTACCCAAATTATAAATGTAAGTTTTGAAGAAGAAAAATCTGTTGGATTAAATGAAAACATTTTTAATACGATCACCGACACCCGAGCCCCCGCCAAAAATCCTGGCCCGATTAATACTCATACTTACTGTAATAATGTGACCTTACCCATTGAAACTTTTACGAGAGCTAATAACCCTTCCTCCAAAGAAGTATCAACAAAGAAAATTGTAAATTTGCGAAATTCCGACTTTACGAAAAGTATGAAATCATTGTCTGAAGATTTTGTTGTAGATAATCCCTTTTTGTCCCGCAATTTTAAAAGTAAATTGTTAAAATTAAAAGCCCGAAAGCCACCAAGTATTTATGAAATTAAATCGCCACCCCTTGCCAATATTCCTCGGATATATATTATAGATTTTGGAAATCCCCCATTAGATGAAATCAAGTATCCCCTCATCGAACCGAAATACGAAACCGAGAATGACTCAGATAAGAATTCAATACTTCCCTGTCCCTTTTCTTTTGTATTAAATAAAAATGATTTTTCCGAAGATTATAACAGCTCTGTCCCTAGAATATTAAAGAGCCCTCCCTCAACAAATACCTTTACTCCTGAATTCTCCCCCCGTATCGAAATTGAATTTATGAATATAAACTATAAGCCCAATTCCCACCGATACCATCTTTATAAATCATTTATATTCCTTTTGTTGAAAAATCCCATTAACTTTTGCTCTGGCTCAATATGCTTTGGACTACATGGTCTAATACAATATGCTATGGATTTTACTGAAACTTCCGTTCCTCCTCATCTAACTACAAGTGGTATCCAAAACGGTAATAATAGATTTAAAATAAAAAAAAAACCCTAATTCCCAAAATTTACTCTCTTCTCACCGTTGCTCCTCCCGACAATATGTTATGGCCTAAAGAATGAAGTTGGAACTCCAAATGAATGTTTTGAAAGAAGAAGATAAAGGAAAAGGATGTAAAAAATGACCAATGCCGTAAATTTATTAAATTTAAAACGTACCTCCCCCACCCTTCCTTGCAACTCACATAAACCCATATTCCCCAATCTTCCCTATGTCTTCATCTAAACTTTTTTTTGGGTTTCCCCCGAATGTCAAATCTTTTAGATTTGAATATTTTTTATTTATTAAACTTTGGCCAAATTTTGTCCATAATTTTAAATACGTTGCCCGCTCTAATTTCCTTTCTGATCTTTACCCGAAAAAATGGCCAAACTATAAAAATTTAATGCCCACTCAAAAAATGCTAATAATAGTGATGGGCCAGAAAGAATCCTTTCCTTTGTAAGATTGTGCAAATTTTTGTTGGCCTATGCGCCCTTTTCTTTCCTTACTCATATTTTTGAACCTGTCATTGGCCTGCCCAGCTAACTAGAAAAAGATTTTTAGTATGTCCCTTTTTTTGTGTATTTTGATCCCAATACTCTCCAAGAATCTCCTCCTCCTTACCCGAATATAAAATAGAATTGTGAGTGGCTTTTCGTCAGTTTTTTGAAACTACATATTTCCCCCTCCCAGAAAAGCTAAAGAGTTTATGAACTACAATTTTTCCCCTTTTTGATTTGGATTTCCTTCCTTCGAATTTGTTTGTCTAAAGTCGTTTCTACCCCTTTCGTAAATGAATTTTTAATTTGTTTGAAATAAAAAGAAGTTTGTTAATTTTAATTATTTGTGAGGAAATAAATTGATTAAAATTGTTTGTTAGATTTATTAAAAAATTAAGTTTTTATTTTTTCCCCTATTCGAGATTTCCGAATTCTCGACAGAAGGAAAAAAATACTTCTCATAATTCAGTAGCAGGCCAACGTATAACTTCGTTCAAATCAGGAACACCCTGATATGGATCAAAAGAGTTTCAGATTCGATAATTTTGAACGAAGTTTCAGCTCGGCGGTACACTGTCTTAGTGGTACCTTTAGTTGTACCCATAATTACAATAAAATCAAAATCGAATAAAACAATTTTTAAAGTTTACCCAAATGTTAAAAAATATGTACTATATCAAGGCAACACTCAATTTTAAAATAAATTAAATAAATCTGTGTACACTTCTTTTTTTTCTTTTAAATAAATCCCCCAATCAAAATATATCGTCTTTTTTTAATTTCCATAAGAAACACAAAAATTACCCTCGTTTCTCTGCGAACTTGCTTTTCCCAGTGTGCTTAAAAATATTTATTTTTGAATTTTAAATAAACTTCAAATGAAAATACCACAACTGTAGGATCTTTCTTCTTTTCTTCTAAAGTTGTTGCATCATTTCCTACATGGTTGGATGGATTTCCGGCTTGTCCGTTAGTTCCTTAAATGCAAATTTAAATTAAAAATTTAACATTATGTAAAACTCAAATTTTTCAGAATGTTTTTAATAAAGTAACAGGAATTATACCTAATAAACTTTATTATTTCAAAGTTTAGATTTTACATTTTTCCCAAACTTTTAATAAATTAAATCTTAAAATATTCTATATTCTTTAAAATAATTGCTACCGTATTTTTTCGATTAATTCCCCTGGGAAATTAATTTCAACCCATCCGTGGGATGGGGAATTATTCGAGGGAGAGGAATTAATCGAGAAAATACGGTATATTCACGCTGTGGAATAATTCATTGGATGGGAGATGGAATAGAATATCACGGAACCTAAGACAACAGACTTTGCCACCACCCAACTCGATTATGGGTTATTCGAATTGTTTCGGGTCGGGGAACGGGGTCGGGGTGCAACATATTTATTTTTAGCGTGATTTTTTGCCTTTTTGTCTTAAACTTTTAAAGACAATTGTGTTGCGTTGAAATTATTTTTTATCCTCTTTCCTTTCATTTCCTCAAAAAAGTATGTACACATGGGTCAAAGTTATCGTCAAATAGATAAGGAATACTAAGAAATAGATACATTAAAATCTTAATCCTATTTGTATATTAAATTTTATTTTCTATTAGAATAACTTTTTTAAAATTTATTTTACAAACCAGGAAGTCCATTGCTATATGTTGATTTAGGGTGTGCTTGTTTTTCGCGAACTCCAACACAACATTCAATAAAAACAATTGTGAAAATCACTAAGACAATAAATGTTTTTGACATTTTTTAGAGAGTTTAGGTAGTTTTTGGTTAGAAGTTTTTAAAAATTTGAATGTTTAAATCTTCTTTTTTTAATCCCACTTTTAAATTAAAATTTTTTAAATTATAAAATATGGGCGAGTTAAGAGGGATAGCAAGGAGACAATAGATTTTAAAGACAATAGAAAATTTAAATAAAAATTTTTTTTAATTTTTTCCATTGTCTCCCTCTTAAATTTTAATTTTTCTATTGTCTATATGCCTGTCGAGGTAAAAAATTTTTTTCTCCTCATGTGAGGGCCTTTAATTAATTATTGCCCTTATGATAAACTATAAAATATATTTTTGGCTCATCTTATGGCATGCGTCCCAGGGATGTATATGCGTCCCATGAAAGTATAAGCGTCCCAAATATAGTATATCAAATCCTTTTAACTTTATTCTTTCAATATCTCCCCAACCCTCGTAAATTTATTCCTTAATATCCCTCTCAATACCCAAATATTCCTCTTAATCCCTAAATTCCTGATATCGCTTTTAATCACCCAAATCCGACAATATCTCTTTAATCTCTTCAGTTTTGAAAATAAAAATTTTATTTCCGATTTCAGGCTCTTCCGATTCCGACACCTCTGACCTTGCTAAAAAGGAAAAAATCGGTCCATGGCCTTCCAATATTCTCAAAATTTCGTTTGAGGCGATGAAAAAGGAAGAAATATGTGTTTGCAACTTGAATAAAGTGTTGCTGATTTGGGTGTGATATCGAGGAATCAGGAAGGATTGAGAGGAATATGGTGGATTTGGAGCAATTAAAGGATATCGGTGAATTTACAAGGATCAAGGCGGATTCTGAGGAATTAAGAGATATCAGTGGGTTTGGATGGATTAAGGCAGGATATCTTAATTATTCCTAATTCCTCTATATCTTTCTATTGGAACGGGGAATGTTATTCCAAAATCGAAGGTCGGAGGATTAATGTGGATATAAGGGGATTTGAAAGATATCAGGGGTCAATCCTTCCCAAATCCTTCTTAATCATCTTATCCTAGACTTAATCCCCGAGGCCCGTACTTTGTGAATAGAATGTGTTTTGACTATCTGTGTTTGTCCATGTTTTATGTCCGAGTTCGTCCGTGTTTGTCTTTCTGTGTCTGTCTGAGTTTTCTGTCCGAGTCTGTCCGTTTAATTTTCTTTAGCGACGCAAGCGCCCCTATGGGCTTCCATATGTCCTAGCCATAACAGCCAACCCCAACTCGTTTAATAAATACTGTCTCATAATTCGGAAGCAGGCCAACGCCCTAATATGGCTCGATTCATCTCGCGAAGCGCATCGAACCGATAATTTTGAACGAAGTTACAGCTCGGCGGTACCGTGTCTTCTTGATACCTTTGGTTGTACCCATAATTCGAATAAAATCAAAATCGAATAAAATAATTTTTAAAGTTTACCCAAATGTTAAAAAAACATGAATATCAAAAGGTAACGACTCAATTTTAAAATAATTTAGAAAATAAATAAATGTCGTTTTTTTCTTTTTTCTCTTAAATAAATCCCAAATCAAAATCTTCTTTCACATATCTTCTTTTTT